GGCCATTGTGTAGTTTTCTGGAGTACTGCAAGTTGTTCGAGATGTCCACTCTGCTGCGCCTCATTCCTTATTGCAATATGCATATTTTTTTCATCAAGAAGGCAGAATAGATACAGTAATTTTTATTAAAAATTTATATGCAATTAGGCAAGGGGATCACAAAAAAATGAAAATGTAGGTGTTTGGGTCTGTTAACTGTTGTGTTTAAAAGTATACCATAGCCTTTACTGAAGTACTGAAGAACAGTTTCTCTTCTAGATGACTGTTACCTAAACTTCATACCTTTGAGAAACGTCATTTGGGTTGTCAGTAGTAGTTTGTAAGGGGTTAGAATTACCTCTAAGAAGTCAATGACAAACCAAACATAGAATCAAAGATGCCGGACACATTGCTAAAACATTTGTAAGTCTTAACTGTTTGCACCTCTCTTTGTTCAGCTGCATGGCTTTGCATGGCATGGCTCCTCTGCTTTCCATGCTTCTCCCTCTCCTTCCCCCCTCCTCCCTCCAACCTTTTCTTTGCCTTGAATAAAGTGAAACTGAATTTTATTTGACTGGAATGTGATTATTATTTGGTTGGGTTTTTTTTTAATACTGCTTTAACAGGTTGATACCATTACTCAGAATTTCATAGGTAGAAATTGACAAATTAAGTCAAATCCTGTCTCTGAGAATGCAAGGTCAAGCTTCTGTTGCAGCCATCTCAGTGACAGCAGAATGCAGACTTTAGTTTTTACCTTTGGTATATTATAAGGACAAGTTTTTAATGACTGGATTTACATGTATAAGCTTCCTTTAAAATACTGTGGGTTTTTTTTTTCCTTTTGCCGTATTGAAAAATATAGATTATGTTGCCAGATACCCAGATTCTTAAGAAATCCTCTTTTTTTTCCCCAAACATTTTTGTACATACACCATTAGCTATTTATTATTTTTAGCACTTCACAAAATACACTCACATACCAAACAAATCACTAAGGTCTTTTGTTCCTTCTGAGTTATTTTGAGCCATCTATGTGCAAATATCAAATACCACACACTAGTCAATAAGAGATTAATATTACTGTGTAATGGTAGTTAAAATTTAATACGTACAACATATTATTGAATTTGAACTACAAACCCTAAGTTTCCTAATTACTCTGCTGATGTAAAACAGTTTCAGTAAATACATCACATACCTTAATAGGATTGCTGTTTTGTGGCTTGTTCATAAATCGCTCCATATCCATATGACATTAAAATAGATCTGTATATATTTGATTTGTATGTATTTCCTGATATTGCATTAGCTTCAAGAATGAGAATATTTCACAAAACTATTCAGAAGATTCTTCCCCCTTCTTCCCCCCCCCCCAGCCCCGATCCTTTCACGTTTGAATTCCAGAAAAGAGCTTCCTAAAGACTGCATTGCTTGGAATCATGTAAGTATTGTACAAGGCAAGAGCATGCAGTGTTTCTTCAGCAAATCATGCGATTCCACAGTACCTTTTTCCAGCATTAAACTCTCCCAGTTGATCCCTCTCCATCTTCAGTGACTAATCTTTACTGAAGTTTCAGCAAAAACTAAAGAAGCAACCAATACCAACAAAACATTTACTTACCAGGAATAAAGGATATAGGTGGCTAAAGTACCTAAGAGGTAATTACTGAGGTTTGGCTGTGTTTCTTTTTCCTATGTTGATCAAAACTTTTGTCAAGGAAGGGTCTCGGGTTCTATGCTTTAATCTGTTACTAAAACCAGACTGGGCGAAGGACCTGTCTGTCTCAGTATTGTATGCAGATTATTATGGAAATTAATGGAATACCATGGCAGGGTTTTTTTCCTTTTTTTTTTTTTTTTTTTTAAGGAACTGAGACCACATATTTCAAAAGAACAGGGCTATTAAATGTGAGAACTGTTGGTGAAAAATACTTCTAATATGCATTGTGTATTTGTAATTGTCTCAGATATGCTGCAAAGTTTCTGGCTTAGATTTGTTTTTCATGTGTATTACAATAATTGTTTCATTATGCAGATCAAGTATTTCACACTCTCATACAGAAAACATTTGTGTTTATCACCATCATCTCTTGAAATGCAAATTGTCATAGTGTGGTTATGCAATTCTTGAATGCCTTATGCTTTTCTGTCTAGAACTGAACAAACTAGCAGATAGCTGACACCTTTTTTCCTGCATATAACTCTATAACCAAGTCAAGATTTGCCTCTTGTTATCCTTACTGGTGGATTACTTAGGGGTTTTCTGGGCAGTATGGGCAAGTATATGCATAGAATCATAGAACAGTTTGGGTTGGAAGGGACCTTTAAAGGTCCTCTGGTCACCTAGGAACCTGAGCTTTGTTATTTGACCTAAGAAATGCAACTATGATCTTGGTCACAATTTTTCTTTTGTGACTGCAAGTGGGATCTAAGCATCTAAAACTCCACTCACAACAGACACAGGATTTTTATAAAGAGATTTTGATTGTTTTCAGGGTAAATCTGGAACAAGAATTCTAAATATTCTTGTAATACTTTGAGGGAGGAGTAAATTGGCTTTTAAGTCTCCTCCTACAAGTAGCAAAAGAATATCCATGCCGTTAATTTTTATTAACTTATCATCCCTGGATCAGCATATCAAAGGCTGAAACAAATGTGACTGCCAGAACAGGCATTGTGAGGTAGGACACTAATAGGTAAACTGGGAGAAAAAACTGAATTCTCTTTTTGCTGGATATCTTCCAGTTTTTAATCTTTGTGGGTTTTCATTCCTTGTTGCATCAAGCAGGTCGATAACTATGTGCAGAAGTTAGTCTTGGTAACTGGCCCTATGAATGTTTTTAAATGTTGGTTGTGAAGCGTGAAAGAAAAGCATTCTTGTATTGATGGCTCCTATAAAATGGTAACTGTCTCACAATCTGCAGTTTGTGCTCCAGCAAAGCCAGGCTCCCAAATTCATGGTGCCAATGTGCTCTTCATATAGACAGCAAATCCTGACTCAAAATACCAAACCACTAAGAGTTTAAACAGACGTTTTTCTGTAAGTTCCCAAGGGGCTCAAAACTGGATTAAGCAGTTCAAGCGCCTGAGCATTTCATATGCTTTCCTCCATCAAATCTGCTGCTCTAGAGAAAGTATTTTTGTTGTCTTCATGTGACTGGAAGTTCTTAAGTAATGTAAAACTCCAGTATCTACAGATTTTATGACAAGAAATGCTTTTGAATTACTTTGAGCAACAGGGGTTAGTTCAGGACAGCATGTCTGAGCACTTGTCATGATGTCAGTACTTCTGAGGGGAGGGTAGAGATAACGTGGGGAACACAGACAACACGCGAATAGATGTGCTTTGTGTCGGTCCCCCTTGGTGGCTTCTTGTTCAGCAAGTGGCACTGTACCCCGTGTCTCATCCCAGGGTGTACTGACTGCACTGTTCCCTCAGTACTCATTACTGCCGTTCATTAGTATGGGCACAACGTATAGGTCAGTGTCCTTCCTCCCTGAAAAACGGTAGAGTGGCATCAAGAACAAGCTTCTACTGCTTGTTCCAATGCTAAAGGAAGAACAAATGAATCAAACGTTACGGGATGTTTTCTCCTTAGCAACCAACACCAGCTCCGAACATACTTTACTTTTTTCTGTATTGCTGAACAAAAGGGAGCTGTGCTGCTTAATATGTGAAATGGTAAACATTTTTTTATGGGCAGTGAGAGGTCAGGGTGTGCTTTTCACAGGACTGAACTGCGAGAGCTATCAACGTGGCTGAATACACAGGAGCACTACTCAAGCTGAGATATCAATGTAACTTGACTTCATTCTGTGCTGCATAGAAATTGCTACTTTATGCCAATAGTAAAAACTGTTGCTATAATATTTCTTCTTGGAAAAATGGAATTTTCATGTATTTAAATACAGGACAACCTCAGCACATCTTTTGGGTTGAATTGCTGCTGATAGCAGACTGTTCTACTAAAATGCTCTCCTTACCAGTGTTGCTGGGTTAGCTGATCAAGTGCCAGTGATGACCATGAATTTTGCATGGGTAAAAAAAGCTTTCAAGATTACCCTAACAGGAAAACGGCTGGAAATCGGCTGGAAATCTTCAAGGGGAGAGGTTTTACTGCTCTCTAATCCATGCAAAACTACCCATAAAGCTCAACGACAGGAAAATGCAAAGTGCAAAAAAAGCAAGTTATGTTAGTGACTTGGAGGAATTTAAGGCCTAGTTTATCGCAGGCAGCTGTGGGTGATCTCTGAGCTCCTGTGGTGGTGAACGCTGAGAAAGTTTGCTAAATGCCTTGCTGTTTGAGAAACTCTGTTCCCCTTCAAACAGAATAAATTCCATGGACTGCCTACAAGATCTTAATCAGCCATTCCTTGACTGTGAAAGGTATTTTATTTGTTGTAGGGCACTTGAACAAAAAGGCAGTGATACGCACGGGTCACCAATAATTAATCTTTTGTAAAAGTTCCTAGGACAGTAACAGGTTTGGCCTATCTAGCCTACTGAGAGATGCTTCTCGAGAGTGAAGTATGTTTACCCTAGTCTTTCAACTACATTATTCCAAACAAGAATATAAAAATGTCTCGTACCCTAAAATAACAGTAACTCGTCATTTTTAAGATATCACTGTTTGAAATTTTATGAGCTACGATTGTAAATGCTAAATAAAATTTTAAACAGAAAGGGAAAAAAAAAAGAAAAATCTTAAGAAAATACCAGCTGCACAGCAATGCAGTTATGTACATTCTTCTAAATATACCTAATTCCCACAGCTGTCAAAAAATAACTCAAAAAAACTAATATGGGAAATATGAACACAATATTTTAAACATATAGCTTAAAAAGTAAACTTTGAAACTCATTCTTTGAAGTTCTCTTAATCCATACTTCTTCAGTAAATATAAATGCTTCTCCCATTTCTGTAAATGGTTTTTAAAAAGGCACCTTTTTTTTTTTTTATCAACACAGGCTGTGCTATGAGTAAGCCACAGTTCGTGGCTGCAGGCGTATTTTTTCTTTAAACCAGGTTAAACTCCCTCAGGTTTAATTGCAGGATCGTGTCCTTGACAGCAGCAAAGACGAAACGAATATTTTCTGTGTCTGTGGCACAAGTGAAGTGGGAATAGATTACTTTCTCCTTGTCTGGATTCTGATCCTGATACAGCTTCAAAATGAAGTCTCTGGCAGCTTTGACATCTTGTTTAGGTCCTAGTCAAAAGCACAGTTAGTGGTTTGAACAATTAAAAGCTATGGGTCAAGGAAGAAACATATCGACAGTGTCTTAACAGGCTAATTTAATATTTAAATGCCAAATCACCATAAAGGCATACTCCCTTGTTGGCATCTTCTCATTCATATGTTAGGTGAGCAAAAGCTGTTACAACACTGCTTTCTAAAATGTGTGGAATGTGCTTTTTTCAATGCTAAACCTTACAGGTCAAAGTAATTTTTTACAAAAACCTACGCAACTGAAATTACCCAGCATATATTAATAGTTTGCTACGTTACTGGAGTATGTCAAAGACCATGAGAGAAACCACATTTTCTGAAACACACAGAGTAAACAGGATTCTCTTTGGCCAAGAAAGGGACGTGTGTTTTCTCTGCAGCTATTAAATCTTTATAACTTTTTTCACTATTAATTGTAGGATTCAATGTGATACATGTCTTGCAGAATATAATACTGTATTAAGTAACAGAATATATCTGTGATTATTTTCATCATTCTTTTGGCAAATTTAAGTATCAGTAACATTTGTTAAGGAAAGTTACTCAGGCTGCTTTTTAACTTTGGGCTTTTACATAGATAACAAGGTGTAATAATAAATGCAAAGCTATACTAAGGGTTTTTACTATATAAAGAGTTGGATTAATAGCTGTTTTCCCAAAGTTCCCCCTGTATCTTGTCTCTTGAGATCGAAGATGAAAAACGTGCTTCATCTCATAAATAAATAGTGATTTGCCACTCGAATGGTAACAGAATGGCTGCAAGAAATCTCTTAAGACTCTGTCCACAATGCTCCACTAAAAGAAAAAAAAGTTCCAGGAAAACTAAGTGACTTAAGTTTGTATTTTAAAAGATAGAATAGGAAAGCATAGATATTAAATATATTGCATAATTCCACTTTCTGTGTTCAGTGTAATGAGGAAAAACTAACTGGATTAAATATGACTTGTTTTGTGAAGATCGTGTGGGATAAATGCTTACCTGTGTATTCTGGAAAGTAACTAATGAGATGGGAATACATGATTTTCTCTTCTAGAAGATCTTTTTTATTTAAAAACAAAATGACTGAAGAATTCAGAAACCAGGGATATGTAATGATAGTTTTAAATAAGGCCTTGCTTTCTTCCATTCGATTCTACAACAACAAAAATAAATAGGGTTACACTCTCTAGTCAGTAGCATATACAAATCATGTCAGCCAGAGATCATAAAGTTTGTTTTGAAAGCTTTTTAAAAAATATTACTTTTATTAAGCACGATTGCAATGCACTGGTTTATCATTACTCTTCATGTTCTATATCCTTTTATTCACTGGGTTTTGGATCATCTCTATGAATGGCATGATGGCATGTGAAATCTCTTTGAATTCTTGTATGAGTGAGTGAGCAGCCATGGACTGCAGCTCTTATAAAAGCCTCTTCTGACCTCACAGTGAGAGCTGAATCAAGGTGTATGAGGTCAAGTATCTGATATTAATATACTGTAACACAGCTAAAGGACAAGAGCATGTGTGCTCATCTATACTAGTAATAAAGTCTGTCCATTTCAAAAGAGATCTAAGGAACGCTACATTCAGAAACTGCTGTTTGGAGTTCCTGGGGATAAGCTTCTCATGGCAGTGAGTTTGTTATTTATTTCCTAATGTCCAAAGTGAGTATAACAACATGTTCAAGATACTGCAAGGAAAAAGAAAATTAGAGTTACCGAAGTTGTTTGTGCATCAAAAGATGACAGGAAACTTTGAAAACTCTACCTCGACTACAATGGATATTGTGACATTTCAGCAAGTGAAGTAGGGTACGCTTTTCACAGTTCAAACAGATCTCGAGAAAGTGATCTATAACGGCTTTGGGACTTTAGAATTCAAATGGTATTAAGCATTTTTGAAGGAAATTTGAAGAAATCCTCATACTGCAAGATGTAAAGCAACCACTACCAAAAGTAATGCAGTGCCACTAATATGCTTTTCCGTAATTGCCTATGGTTTTCTTTTTCGCATCATTCTCTATAACATCTGGCTACTGATGATGATGGCACTCTAGAACAGATGGGAGAACTCATCATGTTTTCTAACCTTGGGATGGAAGTAAAATTTAAGTTATTTTGTTTTAATTTTCCTTAATTAATGCACAGGTTAATTCTGAAACATCAGAGACATAAAAACCAAACCGACAAAAAAACTGGTTACAGATGACTGAGGTAGTTTTACTTGCTTAGAGATATTCCTGATACTCAAATTCTCAAACAATTGACATGGCCTAAGTCATTTAAGTGTCTTTTAAGGGAGAGTTCACTTTTACAGGCAGGCTGCTGATTTAATACAACTTTGGGACTGCTTGATCACCTTGTTAATGTAATTCTAGTATTTACAAATACTTTTATGAAAACATGTGAATTCTGTCTTCTTAAAAAGCACACATCTTTTTCTGTACCTTATGTACCCCACTCCTTACCTCATTGTCACATTCTGCCAAGACTTGATCATATTCACTTAATGCAACTAAGAAAATGATGGAAGTAACACTTTCAAAACAGTGGATCCACTTCCTTCTTTCTGACCTTTGGCCACCTACATCCACCATCCTGTCAAACAGAAATGCAGTCAACATTAGTCATTTTCATGAGATACTTTAAGTATATCCAAAGGCGTTATGACAGGTTGCCTACTTGAGATAAGCTTGAACTGTGAAAAGTATATATTAACATTGTATGTTCTGTTTAATATTAAACTTGATTCACTTGCTGTAGTGCTACAACTTTTACTGTTCTTTAGTGTTGCTGTGGGTTAATCCCAGTGGGCAGCTAAGCACGCTGCAGCTGCTCAGTCACTACCCTGCCACACTGGGGGTGGACACGGGGGAGAGGAAAGAAAAAGTAAAAGCAAGAAAATTTGCAGGTCTAGATTTAAAAAAAAAAAAAAAAATAATTGTTTAATAAGTGAAGGATAAATGGAAGAACAGATAAAGAAAATGAGACAAGTGATGCAAAAGCAATCCTTGACCACCTCCCATGGGTAGCCCATCCAGTTGCGAAGAAAAAGATGGCCAACCTCACTAAAGCCCCGTCTTTTCACTTTTATCTCTAAGGATGATGTTATATGGTGTGAAATATGTCTTTGGTTAGTTCAGGTCATCTGCCTGGCTGTGTGTCCCCCCCCCACCAGCATCTCATGCACCCCCCAACCTATTCACTGGGGGCAGAGAAACAGAGAAGGCCTTGGTGCTGTGCAAACACTATTCCGCAAAAGCTAAAACACCGGTATGTTTTCAGTACTGTTTTGGTTACAAATCTAAGACACAGCACCATATTGGCTGCTATGAAGAAAATTAACTTTATCCTAGCCAGGCCCAGGCCAAGTGTATAAGCCACTTGAAGCACAATACAAAATATAATGGTTGCTTTTTTTCTGTGTGGGCAGAAGTTTTAGCAAGACAGATGTGAATGCATTTGATTTTGTTTACTCACACACTCCAAAATCTCCCTTGCCCCCTCCCCCTGCAAAAAACCCACATCATCTCCAGCGTAGTTGTATCTCACTACTCAGAACAATCAAAATGCTCACAAATATCTTAGTTCCACATCAAATTCCTGTGGTTTTGCAGACAGTTAAGAAGTCCCTCACATTTCATCTGGGTCAAAGTGTTCCCTAGAACATTCAATTTTCCAGGAAAAAAACAAACAAACAACAAAACCACAGTTAGGCTGGTTTGACCATGTGTTATCAGAGTGCATTCTGGTTCTGTGTTGTAACTGCAAGCAGGTGTTTGCTCATGATGAAATGGGTGGTTTGGTGGAAGAACATCTATAATCATGCCAGTGTGAATTCTGCAATTTTGAAATAAAAAAAAAAAAGAAAATGCTATCCCTTAGAAAATCAGTAACCCCGCCTGTTGCAATAGCTTGTCTAGTAGCAGATAATTTTAAGGAGCTTCTCAGACGTTCTTTCAACTTTACATTTGTTTCCTTCAATTCCACTGAATGGGGTTTTTTTGTATATGACATGGCAGGAAGAATAGAAGTATGTACTGTGATGACCCTCCACTTTTTTTTTTTTTTTGTCCTCTTCCTTCTCTCTTCCCTAACTTTATCTAACTGAAAGTTGTAAACTCACTTTAGGGCTTTAGCATATCTATTAGGGCCCTCTCTTCCAAACAGTTACAGTCAGGAGACAGAAACTGTTGGCTCTAAATGGAATTAAACTCCATCCCGATATGAGCACTCATGTTAGTACAACTGCCTAGCCTCTGCATCACCCCATTTAAGGCTTTTAATTAAACCAGTAGTTCGGAATACACAGTAATTGGGCTGCTTGAATTGAAAAGTCTTTTTCATGTAATGTAAATTTCAAAAGGAATGTTTTGAAACCACTCAAGTTACTATATTAACTTTGGAGACTAAAAGGGCTGGAAACACCTACAACACTCACTGAATGCAAAAGCTTAAAGGACCTTAGAAGTAAAGTTGCAGCACCTACTTTCATAATTATATACTGAATCATTTGACAGGCAGTCTTACCTAAATATAATATTTTCTAAATCAAAAGGATACTCGGTAATTCCTGTAGTTGGCACTCGGACTCTAAGAATATCTTGCTGAGTTGGCACAAATGAGGGCATAGCAATACGATCAAGGTCAGTAAGATAACTGAAAAGTTAAATATAAAACAGAAACAAGATTAATACACTATCATAAATTAATCACGCAGATTCAGAATCAAAGTACTAACCAGCAATCACAGAAATGTTCCCACAAAAGCATCTAAACAGAAATTGAGCTGTCCATGGCCTTAGCGCATTGGTTGCTGGCATAAAACAATAAAACCCTTTACTTTAACTGAGGCCTGCATGTGCATTTCAGGCAGAATAATACTAGTCAAAAGAGATGACGCCTGCATGTTCTATAGACAATCAGCCCCACACCCAAAATTATGAATTTTATCTGAATAATCTTTGCTGTGTACCCCAAAATAAACATCAGAATGAAGATCTGAACACAAATATAAATATCAGGCCTAGCCATAATGTTTACCAACAGTGCTCTATCCCCTGCCACTTCATTCGTGATTCTAATATTGCACACAAATGTGAAAGGTTGCTGGACAGAATTCAGAAAAGTAATTAATAGAAAGCACGGCTAACATGACTGCTTCAAATTTATATATTTTTAATATAAGAGATGTTTCTCTTCTGCCCGCCCAGACTTTCTTAACTTTACCCTCCTTAGTTTCATAGAGCTCTTCTGCTTTTCATGGGATTAAATTCTAGGATGACATTCCTGTGCCTCAATAAATGAGCAGTGTGTGAGCAAGACAAAGAACCGATGCCTAGTATTCCTCTCTGCAATGTATGTTTCCACCACTAGAAGGCAACATTAGACCATCCAAAATCCTAACAAGGCCTACAAAAAGTGTAAGGTGTACTCCAAATCCTGCAACATGGTTGTAGCACCAACCGTCCTTTATTTAAGCGTGAATTCCCTCTTTTGCCTCTGGTGGAAGAGGGAGACTGTCGATGTATTCTCCCCTTGCTGCCCAAACATCTCTCACATTCGAGCTCCAAAATAAAAAATTCTCACACTTAATGTTATCAATTACTCAGAAAAGATTTCTCTTAAGAAAATTCTTCCTCTCCAGCAATGTAGAAAATTGTTATTGAGCTCTGAACTGCAATTAACAGTAAAAGGACAATTTAATAAAATTTAAAATAAAACTGATTTTCGATTGTGGCTGATTTCTTAGAAAACGAGACTGCTGTAGACCATTAAGTGGCATCCTTCTTCTTCAATATAGGATTATTTAAGAACAAGGCAGACAAACATCTCTCAAGAATGATAACGTTTAACACACAGGAACAGATTGCCTATGTGTAACCACTCTGAGTTAAAGTTTACCATAAATGCCTAATCTAAATGTTCCTTGCTAAAATTTAACCCTGTTAATTCTCAACCTTGGCAGAAACAGAAATGTACATTTTCCGTTATCATGAGACAATAATTTTTTCACAATTAAATTGTTTGAAAATATGGGACTTATCTTCGTTCTTATTTATATCCTAAACTTTTCACGTAACTGAACTGTCTGACCTGCCTGCTTGTTGTCAATGTATTTCCTACAGCTGTTTTTCATTATTTCCCCCAAGGGAAACTCAGTTATGTACCAGCTGTGTTGACCTCAGAACTGGGAGGGATGATCATTCCAGTATGTTCAGAACGCCTAAAATTAAGTTTGTTTCATCACCCCAGCTTAAAATTTGTTATGTACCACAGGCCAATAGAGACACAGGTATACCTAATAAAATCAGAGTGAACCTATCTGTTCATTATGAGCCAGCAGTGTGCCCAGGTGGCCAAGAAGGCCAATAGTATCCTGGCTAGTATCAGAAACAGTGTGGCCAGCAGGACTAGGAAAGTGATCATCCCCCTGTACTCGGCACTGGTGAGGCCCCACCTTGAATACTGTGTTCAGTTTTGGGCCCCTCACTACAAGATATTGACGTGCTGGACTGTGTCCAGAGAAGGGCAACAAAGCTGGTGAGGGGTCTGGAGGACAAGTCTTATGAGGAGCAGCTGAGGGAACTGGGGTTGTTTAGCCTGGAGAAAAGGGGACTGAGGGGAGACCTTATTGGTCTCTACAGCTACTTGAAAAGAGGCTGTAGTGAGGTGGAGGTCAGTCTCTTCTCCCGTAACAGGCAATAGGACGAGAGGGAATGACCTCAAATTGTGCCAGGGTAGGTTTAGGATGGATATTAGGAAAAATGTCTTCACTGAAAGGGTTGTCAAGCATTGGAACAGACTGCCCAGGGAAGCGGTGGGGTCACCATCCCTTGAGTTATTTAAAAGTTGTGTAGATGTGGCACTAAGGTACATGGTTTAGCGGTGGACTTGGTAGTGTTAGGTTAAAGGTTGGACTCGATGATATTAAGGGTCTTTTCTAACCTAAATGTATGATTAACTTCATTATGTCTGGGTTGTCCTTGTAACTATGCAGTGTACTTACTACTTAGCAGAGTCTGAGAGCTGGAACTCCCTCCTTCTGTCATAGCATTCTTGAATTCCTGGGTCTTCCCAGAGATTCTTGATTGCTTTAACTTGTTCTCTTTCCAGCACCGTCACTTTATCCACTTCCACTTCTTTGATCATCTGAGCACTCTCCTAATCAATTAAATGATTACACTATTGTGAGAAAGGATTGCCATTTGCATGCAAGACACAATCTCCCCTTTCTTTATTATACTCTTCTCATCAATGACACTAAGCATCAGAAAGGAACCTAGCAGAAAATAAGCAGTTTTAATCCTTGAATGCATTTAATTTTTCAAGCGGAATGACTGCTACTGAATGTTTTAACTGATTTAGTCTTGATTACCGTCACCAGGTGTGATTTTTCTCAGTAAAAGGGGACCTTGACAAAGGTCAGAAGGAACTCTAAACCTACTGTTTTTAAACTCTCTAAATTTCAATACCAACTTATAATAGTGGCAATGTTTCTAAAATTCTAGATACTTTCTTTAGTACAGATACTTTTGGTTTGTTTGTTGGTTTGTTTTGTTTCAGGACAAACCAGAGGCTTCAAATCAGGTATCAAATTCCTACAAGCCATCTTCTGCTTAATACCTATTTCAGTGAGATACAGCCAAGGTACTACTCTGTGATAAGAAAGATTTCTTCTTTGCTCTCTGCTGTTAAGTGTAAGAGGTATTGCGAATATAAATGTAAGTTTTGCTTTTAAGGGATACAAAAGAATCTGTCATTCTGCAGCAAGTGGTGCAGTTAATTTGCTGGAGGGAAGGGATGCCATCCAGATGGGCCTTCACAGGCTTGAGGAGTAGGCCCATGTGAACCTCATGAAGTTCAACAAGGCTATGTGCAAGGTCCTGCATGTGGATCGGCGCAATCCCCAACATCAGTACAGGCTGGGGGATGAAGAGATTGAGAGCAGCCCTGTGGAGAAGGACTTGGGGGTACCGGTGTATGAAAAATTAGGTATGAGCCGGCAACATGCACTCGCAGCACAGAAAGCCAACCGTATCCTGGGCTGCATCAAAAGAAGCGTGGCCAGCAGGTCGAGGGAGGTGATTCTGCCCCTTTACCCCGCTCTTGTGAGACCCCACCTTGAATACTGTGTCCAGCTCTGAGGTGGCCAGTTCAAGAAAGACATGGACCTGTTGGAGCAGGTCCAGAGGAGGGCCACAAAAATGGTCAAAAGGATAGAACTCCTCTCCTATGAGAAAAAGCTGAGAGAGTTGAGGTTGCTCCGCCTGGAGGAGAGAAGGCTCCAGGGAGACCCTATTGTGGACTTCCAGTACTTCCAGCTTATAAGAAAGATGGATAACGACCTTTTACCTGGGCCTGTAGTAAAAGGACAAGTGGAAATGATTTTAAACTGAAAGTGGGTAAATTTAGCTTGGACATAAGGGAGAAATTTTTTATGAGGAGGGAGGTGAGCCACTGGACAGGTTGCCCAGAGAAGCTGTGGATGCCTCATCCCTGGGAGTGTTATAAGTCAGGTTGGATGGTGCTTTGAGCAACCTGACCCAATGAAAGATGTCCCTGTTCATGGCAGGGAGGTTGGGCTAGATGATCTTTAATTGTCCCTTCCAACCCAACCCATTCTATGACTGGAAGCATTCTCTTCAGTTCAACTGGGTATATAATAATGTTTGCTAATACCTTTATTGGTCTGGAAAAGTACTGTTCCAAATGAATTTAATACTGAAATAAATTAACTTGTTTAGTGTTTGGAATATAACAAGTTGGTTACTGTAAATTCAGTTTGCCAACACTTTTTCCAGTACACTGCTAGATATCATCTAGATTTTAACTTACATCCTCTTTAAAAATGAAGGAAGATTTCTTCCCAACCTCTTATTTTAAACCTAGGGGAGTCACAAATAGTAATGCTGCATACAGTTCTGGTTTGGATCTGGGGCAGTGAATTCTTGGGTCTGAACTGGAAAATCTAAACACTGATAGACCTGTTAATCTAGGAATTCGAAACAAGATAAAGATCAGTCAGAGAATAGGATTTTTGTAATTATGGGGTCTTTAAGTTATCACGGGCAACTGCAAAACTATGTAACATAGAACCTAATGCCTCAAAAGCAAATTCTCCTTGCTCATTTCAAATTAATTTTAAATACTGTAAGTCTCTAAAATGTTGTGAAAATACTACTCTTCTGAGTTTTCATACTAAAGATTTACAATGCAGTCAATGCTTGTGCCTGGGCAAATTCTGCATGATTGGAATTATCTTTCATTTTACAGGTATTCTGTTACACAAAACCAGATGCCAAGTCTTCTCATTTTAATGAGAACTGTTTTTTGTTTGTTTTTTTTTTTCAAATAGTAGTTAAAAGCTTTAACCTAATTTTTGCCACACTGTAAATTGTTAATCAACATAAAATAGTTTAAAATGCATTATGGTATAAATATTCCTGTTAGCATTTCTTGTAGATTCTTTACAGATAAAATCCATATTGGTTTTTCACCTTAATTTTACACAGCATACCAATATTAGCAAGCCAGGTAGTATTATCTACTGAATAAATTTTTCTGTTCTTTAACTATTAAATTATTATCATGTTGATCTAGAACAATGTGGGAAGAGCTTTACCTGTGATTTATACTTTATTTATGCACTGTATATGAGGCAAGAGATTAGAGACCCTGTGTTCTGGCAGTAACATTTCTCCATATTTTCAATCTTATCTGTTGAAAGATGTGCAGAACAATTTGGATTATGTGTAACTCTTCCTTCAGTTCACTGAAGTCACCGAACAGATATCCTTTTCTAAAGAAAAAAAAAAAGGGCACTGACATGCAAATACACAGAATTTCGACTGGGGTTGACTTGGGCTCCATTCCATGCTAAAACTTTGCATGTGTCGGAGAAGGCTTCATGTAATCATAGTTGCAAAACCAGCTTTGAGATCAGGTCCTTGTGAAAAGAAATATTTCCTAAGTGTCTACATCTGCAAATCTCAGCCCCCTTATATGGCCAAGTGCCATGTGACATTAGGAAAAATCCTTTTTGGGAAAATAATTCAGGTTAATCTTTCATTTCATAGTATATAACAAATAGAGTTCCATGCTGACAGCTAGTCTCATGGTCATAATTCAAAGAAAAAAATCCTACAATAAAGGGAAAAACTACGTAAAGCACCAAGCGATTTTAGTATCATTCCATGGGTATGTCTTCCTCACCCTCAGTAAACAGGCACGTTACCAATAAAAAACTCCTTTGGCATGAATTATGGATGGATAATATAAAATGAAAGCAAGGAAGTTTCAGTTTCTTTAAAATGCAGTCTTCAGGATAAATGAGTAATGAGTAATCTTAGGAGACAGTGTACAATAATCCAGCCAGGATCTGACGGAAAAGGGGATTAAACTTGAAACATGTTCCAAGATATCCTTAGAAGCAACAGAAAGTCCTTCAGACTAGGCAGCAGGAGAGTCCTGTATTTTTTTATACTGGGAAATATCAACATTTTAACCAAAAGGCAGGTGTTGCAGGGTTTTGTTTGAGTGTGTGTGCATATGCGCATGTGCGTATGAGTGTGTGTGACAATTTATTACTATCAGCAAACATTCATCATAAATAACAACCAGAGCAATGACAGCTATTTCAGCCTCTGACTACTGTAATGATTGAAGTAAATGATTTTTCTACAAAATTGTGTTGACATGATAACACATATCAATGTTAAAATAGGATTATAACTGGAAAATGATTTACATCCAGTTTTAAGTAATACTGACTGTTAAATATTGATATTAGCTATAGCTTAGTTGTAGATATTCTGTATTGTATTCACAGTCAAAACAAGTATTAATTGCAACTGAACTGAAAATTCGCAAGCCGTGTCAAAATTAATTAAGCCCCCAAACTCTACACAGCTCTTCCAGTAACTAATAAGAATGAGTTCTGCTAATCAGGACTTTAATTTTTAATTGTTGTATCTAACCCACTGAAGGATTTTTGCTGATTATTGCAAATAAGTGGCCTTCAAATCTGTCACAAACTGTGAAAGCTAATAAATTTTCTAACCAGTTATAGCTCTTTAAGCTATTTTGACATCTGCTTAAACGTCCAATTTTCCCTCTGGTTAAACACTACAAAGGGTAACTGCATGATGTAAGGTGCCCCAGAAGGCTCACAGGGTTTTTACTATTTTGCTGTAGAATCCCACCACTAGGAATTCTAGAAAAGGGTTATTAAATCTTGTCGACACTTAGTAATAATATAAGTTTACATTTTAACAAATACCTTTTGGCATTGCCAAAAGCAATGACAGTAGTTTAAGTATCATGAAACTTTATAATGGGATTTTGGCAAGAAGTAGACCTCAGTGTTTCAAGTGGACAGGGTCCTATTTTAAAAACTTTCTCTGCAAACTGGAAGAAGACCAGAAATTTAGTTTTCATTTCCCTCAAAGCAAGAGTGGAATTTTATAGAATTCTCACTTACCACTAAGAAGTTAGCCCAAGAGACGTTGCGGCAATATGCAGCATTGTAACACATGAGCAGAAGGTGCTTTACAGAAAGAACAGAAAGGGCTCACTAAAATCAGAAGAAAACAAAACCCCCCATATCTACAATCATTACAGACTGAACCAAGGAACAAAGAGAGGAAATGCAAAACAGCACACGCACATGTTAACAATGTCAGTTATTGGCATGTTTTTTTTAATGAAATACAAGCAACAAATGAGTTCCAGAATTCAC